CATTGTGCAAAATTATCACAAATTATTACTGATGCTTCGTTTTCTATTGGTATGTCTCCTCGTTTACAGTTAGAGCAATGATGTGAACATGAGTTCCATCAACAGCTCCAATAACTCCAGGAAAGCCCACAATACTCATAAAAGTGGCTTGTTTTTGCAGCATGGTCTGGCGGTTAGTTGGAAAGTCAATGAACTGTCAAATAGTAGTGGTCAAAAGTGATGTCCGGCCTAGGAAATTTGACATATTCGCCCTTGGTTAAAAAATAAATAAATAAAATAAAAATAATTTGTGATAATAATACAATGAAGCAAGCCAAATTGTGCGGTCATAATTTTTGGCCATGCTGTCATACAAAGAAATTATGAACACATGCAAAAACAAGAGGACCAATGAAATGTAAATAACGAGCCAAGAATTTGTGAACGGCTTGATCTGAGAAAGGGGTTATGATTTATGGGGATTAAAAAAACACACTGGGTGGATTTTTATCATTATAGGGTGGTTGTGTGTACACACTGCCAACACACATTTCAGTTCAAACAGCTTGCAAAAGTGCATGTCGCATCATATGAACCCTTTAAGCTTTGACTTAAGTGTCAAAAAATTCTTAGTAAAAAGTAGGACTTTTCCTTTGTATTTTAATGATTTAAGTGAAATGTGGGGTCATAAAAAAAAAAACCCTCCACACATTACTTTTGGCCACTGTTGTGTTTGGTGGGATTAGTGCCACAATATGTATGACCCTGCTTACCGTGTCATCACCGGTGCATTGCTGCATTTTTCCAATTTTACAGCCAAAAAATGTACTTACTACTTTCATTTCTGCAGTTAGAGCATTGACTTGTAGAGTGGAAGAAGTTTTTAAATTTCTTCCTTTGTCAGTTACAAAAACAAATTGACTATCTTGACAATCAAGTTTGTATCATTTTATCAACTCCATATCATCATATAACTATAATATGTCATATCTTTGTTGGAAAGTGTTTGTCTCCTCTTTGCTGCCATCTTGTTACTCCTAACTAGGTTAGGAGACCGCTCCAGCTCTCTAAAATAATTTAGGAGCTGAGACCTAGTCTTAACACTTTATGAATCACTCTTATTCTTAAGTCTAGGAATAAGAGTAAAATTAAGTCATTCTTTGAATTTTGACACACGTAAGACTAAAATTTTACTCCGAGCGGCTTTATACATACGGCCCCAGGTTTTGTTCTCACACGGTAGTGTCAGCACTGTTGATATTGTTACTGAAAGTTAAACGTCTTATAAAGGCCAGCTAAGCAAGTCACAGGTGACAGCAGCAAGCAAACCGCGCTCCATCAGGTGACAGATACAGAAAACATCCTCTGGAGAAACTGATATTCTGCACTGAAATCGGTCAATAAACTAAATCAATGAATATACACGGAGTCAGTGTAACAACTGCTCAATGTACCTTGTCTCTGGTGCAGATGTGTTTCTTTCCTCTCACTTCACACACTCGCGCAAATTTGAGGAAGCGCCGGTAGTCGAAGTTGTTCTGAATGCCGAGATGATAGCAATCCCTGTCCAAACAAACATCTTCAGTCAGACGAACGCTGGAAACATCATCATTAGCTCGGTGCAAACTGCATCTCACCTCGCTAAGTAGTCCCACTTATCCACATCGATACCGTTTCTTTTGTTTGCTACTATCTCGTACAGGAACGATTTCTCCATCGGCCTGCCCTCATATGGCCACTGCAGGGTTAGAAGAATAATGCTTTGAGTCAATGACAGACATCCATTAACAGACTCAGTAACACACTGCTTGGGAAGCTTTTAGAAAAGAGTAAACATCATGCACACAGCTGCCGTGGTTTCTGAAGCCAGGACTCGATGAATATAAATAACGGTGGCTTGACCCATCGCTTCAGCAGCCTGGGACTACAGCAGTGTCAGGTTTACTATATGCTGCTTGCATGTCCGTTTTGAAGCTGTACAGTACAGACACATACAGTGTTCCCCAGAACAAAACTCACACAGGTTTGGAAAGGTGTGAGAGTGAGAAAATTACACAAATTAACCATTTGTGTAAAGGCTTTGTCGCCTTATTTCCAACAATAACAGTTAATATTAGGGCTGGGTATTGATTCAGATGTCTCAATTTTTTTATTACATTCAGTGAATATGGTTTTAATACAAATGCTATTAATATTTCTAAAAAATGAACAGTAAACACCATTTACAAATGGTGAATTAATAAAAAGAAATTAAGAGCCAAAGACCTGTACTTTAAACCTTTTTTTTTTGTTTTTTGTATATGGTGCTATTTTTTAAAACAATAACAGGGCCCTATAAAATGTTTTTCTTAATTTTTCTAGTAATCAAATGAAGGCATAAAACATTAATTTAATTGATCCTAATCAAATGAAAATTAAACCCTTTTATTTTTTGGCAAAGAGCTGCACAACAGAGGTTTACTGTTAAAATTAAAAAGAAAACAACAGAACTGTGACAGAAATGTGATTATTCCTTTAAAAATAAAGTTTTATTAATATCTAGTAGTAGCAGTAGTAGTATTGTTGTTACATTGAGTCTTAAGACTGCACAATAGTAATATAGCCTATTTCTGTCACAGTTTCATCACATTAAACCAAACTTTTATTTTGACGGGTTGCCGTGAAGAACTTGCAGCTGCTGCGTATGTGATATGATGGTAGTTTTCTCAAATTAAACGGTAAAATGCTAATGAAGTGACTGTCAGAGCAGCTGGAGATGATATTCGAGTGTTTTATCGGCATATAGTGAGAAGACGGAGACCGAAAACACCGCGAGCGTCATCAACGCTTTAGTAAACAAACAAAACAGTGTGTCGAGCCATCCGCCATTCATTCATTGATGTCAAATGCTTCCGCAGATTTGTAATATTACTATAGCATTTCACCTGAGCATTGCATATCACACATATTGCTTTGTTCTTGGTTCTTGTCAACAGTATCTCTGCCATGATAAACAATGAATGAATGACAGGCTTTCCGATGTAACATCGCGCAAGGTAAATGAGATGGTGACATCTAGTGGAGAAGACTAATGATAAGATTCACACTAATCAGATCTTGTGTTAAATGTTTGCTGAAATAAATACCGGAAAAAACGATTCGCGGCTTTTGAGAATCGATATCGAATCGACGTCATTTAAAAAAAAAAGATTCATAAAAAAAATCTATTTTTTTGCCCAGCCCTAGTTAATATACTGTTTTAATGGAAATAGTGGGTTGGGAAAGTTATCAAATAACACTGATATTGTATCAAAGTTATAGCCACATTATTTTGACCTGGATTTTTTATTTTTTTTGTTTAAACCGCAACATCAAAGCTCTGCAAAAACGAGAGTGTGATGTTGATGTCAAGCGATGCTTTGTCGTAACATGTACACAAGGCAGCAGCTGATAACAGTGACACACCGATCTGTTCAAGATGGGGTTGTCCAGCGGCCCGATGATCTGCTCCCTAATAAAATTCAGGTCGTCAGGAAGAGTCAGCCCGTGGCGCACCATGACCTCCTCCAGACTGTTGACCTTCACCAGGTGGTCAAACATCTTAACCGAGGTTATCTCGTGCTGCGGGGAACACCAGCAGAAGTCATTACAACATCTGGCTCAAAGCTAACTCCACACAAGGTCAGCTCTTAGATCCCTGAGGATCAAGAACTGTGCACACGACTAGAGGAACGCAGTCAAGCTGCTTAGAAAATGGCCCAATCACATGCATGGTCTTACGCTGCTGACGGTTTTCCCTCACATACCTTCCATTTCTCACCAGGTCGAACTTTAGGGATGAACATGCCATCAAACATGTGAGAGACCTGAACAAAAGACAAGAGGCTATCAAGGAATGAAGATGCAAACCCATTAAAGCCATTAGTGGTTATAACTTGGGAAATCTGATCCGCCCATTTGAACCTGAAAAAGAACATGAGATCGTGTGAGAAGTCTGTTTGGAAGGAAGGCCGGAAGTCGGTCATCAAATGTCAGAAAGTATCCTGATGATTAACCCCCTGGGGTCGAAGCCCGCACTGGTACGGTCTGTCTCGTATTTTCTTTATGACCGCGAAAAGAACTAAAAATACTCCGTCATTTTTTATCGTACAGATTAGAATAAGGTATCGTTTGAAACTGCAAATGGTCTACTTTTATTTGTGTATAGTCATAATAACAACAAAGTGCGCTCTGTGCCGTCTCGGTCTCTGTCACCTCTCTTCACAGACACGTAAATAAAACAACATGAATACTTGCCTCAAAGACACGAGAAATATATGTATAGAAAGCTTAAAATGTCTACTTTTAAATAAAGTAAGTCACATCCAAAACAAATATTCCCTGTTAAAGTAATACATATGAAACCAACGCGATGTCCAGTTTTCCCGTCTCAACTCATTATCTCTAATGCAATCATGCCCACGAGCCGATCGCGCTTTTCAGATTCTAAACATCCACGTGAGACGCGTGCGCATGTAAACACCCACATCATCTGTAAACAAACGAGAAGAGTTCATCCCGGCTACTTTTTGTTTGTTTCTGGAAGAAGACGCACTGAGAGGAATAACCCAGAATTTACCTCAGAGGAAGAACACAACACGATGCATCGTGCAGCTGGATCCAGTGGAGGATATCATTCTGATGAGTAGCCTAAGATTACTTGCATCTGTTGTTATTGTGTTGTGACATAACATACACATTCTACTAGTTAGACTTTTCCCAAACTATAATTCCTGACTACATGTATGAAATCAAGCAAAACATTTTGAAATACGTGTCATTTCATTTTCTAAATGTCTCACAACACCAGGATGTTTGCTTCATGTTTTATAACATATAAAACTGCAAGATATAAAAGTAGTGTTAACACTATGAATGTTATTAGAGTCTAGGAATGTTTGGCACAAAGGTGTGTTACTGTTCAAGTCTCAGTGTTCAGATCAGTATGTTCAATCATGTGTCCTTGACTTTCAGTGTCTATATTTTTTTAAACTGTGTTGTAAATAAAATAGAAATAATCAAAAACCCACATTATTTTACTCTCCTCACACTCTTTCCTTACCTGCCTCAGTCACATTCATATTGATGGCCCATTATGGGAGGCCCTTTGTCTCTCAGGTGTGAATCACTAAATATTGTTAAGGCGCAAGGTGTTTTGTATTTATCCACTAGGTGAAGTGGGGGCTCGTTTGAGATCAAACTGAGAGAGGCTCAGTAGTTTTCGGATGTTGGTAAAATATTTGCTGGGCTGAAGAGGAAAAGATTTCCTGCAGAGTTTTGTCTTATATGACTAGAGGTGAGTGAGAGATTTGCGCTGTAAATGCCAAGAAGTATTAATGAGACGGGTTGGAACGCCAGAGCCATGTGAACTCCCATGATAGGGTGTAGAGCGGTTAACGCTGTTTATTATTTTAGTTTGTTGTTTTTGTTATGTCGGACGCAGGTAGACGGGTTAGCCGCTGAGCTGCATGTGGGCGTACTGAAGACTAGGGGTGAGTTTATTTAGTTGGTTTGTAGATACAGGAAGGCTCTTAATTTTCTTCTGGCATTATGGTGCTATCTGCCTCACTCTAGTCTGTGCTTTCTGTCTTACACCGGTCTATGTGCGTCCAAAGTGATTTTTTTTTATTATTTGATGTAAAATGTCATAGTTTATGTTATCATTATTATTGATGTTTTTTGGGGTTTGTATTATTACTTGTGTGTTACAGAGTTCCCCTTTCAGGGGCCTCTGTTTTAAGGGGCCTGTAATTGCGTTTGGGATAAAACCTAAGGAATTTGACTGCAGGCGTTCATCCTTTCCTCTTCAGCCCTGGATTGTTTTTCTTTATATCTTATAATTTTGTATCATTATTTGATTAATTTTTTATTAAAAGTTTACGTAAACTTTTATTCTTATGTTTGGCCTCCCTTTTTGGCAGTGTTGCTTCACTTAGAGCCAAGTGGTTGTAACAATATTCATGGCCATTGTCACTCCATCGCATACGGGCATTCTATCACAAAACATGTCTTACAAAAGTTAAATTAATATATTGTTTCCTGTGACGAGTGAACAGGATGATTTTCACATCATTTTGTAGCAAAAACTCTAGTCTACCACATCCAGTTCTCAAAAGTCTTGTGGACAAATATTCTGTATGTGTTTTATGGCTTTATTTCAGTGACTTAATAAATTTAGTTTTTCACTAACCACGCATAAACATTGTTTTCTCAAAAACACAAACATGTACTTTCATGCTGCTTACATATTACTGTAGCCTAGTTTGTGCTGAATACAGTGTTATCAGACTTTAGCCATTAATATTTTAAGATACTGACAAAAACACCAATGTCAGGGCATGTCAAAACTTCTCCAGGGCCCCAAAACACCCTTAGACCCCAGAGGGTTAAAATGTTCTTTTAAATTAATCATTTCATCATTTGATTGTAACGAGCATGAGTCACTTGCGGTGTGGATGTGCTGTGACTCGCAGCTTCTCTTCTCGGATCAGAGATGTGATGCATGTAAATCTGAATGTGTTCTGCTGTAAGGGAGGAAACCTAGTGAAGAAGCCAAGCTCTCTCACGTTTCTGAACACGAGCGTCACTCACCCAAGTCATGGCACAGGCCTGCAATCTGCACACACAGCACATCCTGCTTCGTTATGAGGAGCTCCGGTTGTTTTTCATCGAGAGCCTGGACCAGACAACCAGCCAGATATCCCACCCTGCACCACACAAACACAAACTGCCCCCTCAACTGACTGCAGGTTACTGAAATACTGCACAGGAGTCATTAGGGCCCTATGATTTCCACGAGGAATCCAGTCATTAAAATGGAATTTACAGTATAATGCGGAATGTCACAGAATTTGCCAAATTTGGGATGAATAAATGAAAAGTAGGTCTACACTTAAATCAATACATAATACGTACTAGTGTCTGTTAATATTAAAGGGGTCATATGATGTTGCTAAAAAGAACATTATTTTGTGTATTTGGTGTAATGAAATGTCTCCAGGGCCCCAAAACACCCTTAGACCCCAGAGGGTTAAAATGTTCTTTTAAATTAATCATTTCATCATTTGATTGTAACGAGCATGAGTCACTTGCGGTGTGGATGTGCTGTGACTCGCAGCTTCTCTTCTCGGATCAGAGATGTGATGCATGTAAATCTGAATGTGTTCTGCTGTAAGGGAGGAAACCTAGTGAAGAAGCCAAGCTCTCTCACGTTTCTGAACACGAGCGTCACTCACCCAAGTCATGGCACAGGCCTGCAATCTGCACACACAGCACATCCTGCTTCGTTATGAGGAGCTCCGGTTGTCTTTCATCGAGAGCCTGGACCAGACAACCAGCCAGATATCCCACCCTGCACCACACAAACACAAACACAAACTGCCCCCTCAACTGACTGCAGGTTACTGAAATACTGCACAGGAGTCATTAGGGCCCTATGATTTCCACGAGGAATCCAGTCATTAAAATGGAATTTACAGTATAATGCGGAATGTCACAGAATTTGCCAAATTTGGGATGAATAAATGAAAAGTAGGTCTACACTTAAATCAATACATAATACGTACTAGTGTCTGTTAATATTAAAGGGGTCATATGATGTTGCTAAAAAGAACATTATTTTGTGTATTTGGTGTAATGAAATGTGTTTA